GTTACAGGAAGGGCACTAAGATAAAGGAATTAGCAGCACTGCAAATGTGAATTGGTTAGTGAATGAATAATATAATTTAAATATTTCCTTATGACTGAAGTAATATTTTACAAGGAAAACAGAAGTTTTAATTCTAATGTATCTGCAACAATGAGTGATGTAGCAATGAAAAAAATGTTTTCAAAGAATGATGGACAAGCAAAATACAACTAGAAACAGGTTCCTTGGAGAACTTCATGTAGCATTTGGCATTCTTGGAGAAATGTGGAAGCAAGAAGGTTAAGCCAGTACCAGCAATAAATAGGACTGAAAGGGACCAAGGAAAGTAATCTACTGGTCTTCTCATTTTACTGCTGGTTCAGTTTTACCAACAAATACTTGTGTTATTGATCCTAAAACCATCCTAATATGATGACTTCACTGTTTCCATAGTGATCTCCATATTTAATTAACCCTTTCCATTAGTAACTTTGTCTTTTACATGTGACCTACACATTCCCATTGCAAGGAAATATTCACCTATTGTCATACCTCCCATCAACGTAGAGTGAAATTATTTCTTTCCTTTCAGCAGTTGTTTTTTCTTGTTATTATGTCTATCTCCAAGTTTTTAGTCTCTTCTTACAAGCTCCTGATACCTAGATCTTTGATTCTTACTGCTGTCCTCTTGCTGTTTTTTCAGCTGGGCCACAGAAAAGGGCTTATGATTAGGAAACACATTGCATGTATTAACTGTTGAGTGAGGACCAGATTTCAATGTGTGCAAGCAATGGCTCCAATTATAGTCCTGTGCTCAGCACAGTGCAGAGATCACTGAGATGAAAAATACAGAGATCTTGTATCCCAGAGTTTGCTGTTCTCCTGACAGGGGTGTAACAGCAGCCGCACTGTTCCCAGAAGGAATTCCTGATGCAGAATGACTTCAATAGAGTCTCCAGAGACTGTGCATCACTTCACCGCCCCATTCTGTGCTGTTGGCACTATGTCTTAATGCTCCTTCCTTTGGTCCAAGTGCAATCTCAGTGACTGAATCCAACATGTACAGGCTGTATATGACATTCATTCCAGAGTCTGCTCGGTACCATGTGGTATTTGGGATACTTTGTGTCTTTGCTTAAGTTTTTTAAGTATTTGAGTACTTTCCGTCTGAAGAACAGCTATGGCTAATTAAAGGATGAGTGAGGTCATAGTTTTCCCTGACACTGGTAAAATATGCATTATTTTTTACCTTGTGAAACTAATTTCAGGAATATATTGTAATGCTTTTGTCAATGAAGTGTCATGCTCCATGTTACAGAGGTTGTCATAGGTAGAGAAATTAAGCATTCCTGAATGAATGATTGGTAAATTATGAAATCTGCCAAATTATCAGCCATTATAGGATGTGTCACATCTCACAGGAATAACTTCTCTTGATTTACAATTTTAGATGCAATTTCCAGAATCCATACATTTCCAAATCATCATACAGAAAAAGCACATTTATGAAGAGAATAGGGAAGTGCCCTTTTGGCACCCACCAACACAGCTTCTGTTAGTAACTGTTCTCATTACCATCACTGACATACTATGCCGTGGGAAAAAGTTTGTGAAGCTGTGGCTTAGCTTACATGGAGCTCAAGGTCAGAGCAGAAGTTAGTTTAACAGAAGTTCTGCTCAGATTTGAATTCATAAAACACTTTTCTTCTTTTCTGCACATTTTTTTCTGCACCTTACTGATGAGTTTCTGAGGCTTTTAATCAGTATCTTTATTCCTTCAGGCATCATTGAAAATAAGGTCAATTTGGAATTCTTTGACATAAATGCATCTGCACATATGCAATGCCCGTAACGAAAATTGCTAAGTGTTGGGGAAGTGTCTTTGAATCCATTCATTACTGGCAAAAAAATATTGGTAATGCAATGTAGTCAGAATAAATGAAAGAAGAATTTTCTTACCTATTTTGGTTGCACTGTAAATATTTTCAATCGGAAAAGCTCCTCCTAAACTGTATAGTAGAACTTTTGCAAGTGCTGGGATAAGCTGGGTTGTTGTTACCAACACGTTTACACAATTACTCCTACAATGAGAGAAATAGTTTGTTTAAACAATTTAAAAACAGTACCCAAATGCTAATGAGGTGAACCAGCTGTGGAAAGCATATTCAGGATTACTCAATATTTACTTTCATTCACACAGTAGTGCTGCTCAGCACCATCACTTACAGAAAAAAATGTACATAAAACTTCTGGCAAAATCCTTCCAAAAATATGTAGGCTGGATTTGTAAGAACTATTCCACACTGGTTTACAAAAAGCAGGTCCTTGAAGATGGGCCCACTAAAATACAGACATTTAAGACCACCAGGTACCTCCAGAAAAAGGCATTCAAATGCTTTGAAAGCATTTTTTTCATGCTGGTAATTAACTGGCAGTAGCTACCAGCAAAATAAAAGAGTTAGGAGAATGTGAGAACATCTTTTGTTACTCTTTTGTTTAGGGGAAATAAACAGCCAATACACATTTCTCCATAATGACATCACTTTCTTCATGTTTCAAGAGTAAGAATACTCCTGAGAAGAGGGAGAGATAAGAATAATAATGTTAATAAGTTAGCATCAAATGGCAAGAATGAAAATTTGAATGGAGAAATTGTGCTAACGGCTGCACAACAGAAAACTCAGAGCTGGACTACTTTAAGTAGTGACAGGCTGGAACATGAACGTGACCATGATGTGAACATAGAGTTGAGAGCAAATAGTTGTGATTTTTCCTTCTGGCACTTCCACAAATTCCAAGCAAGACCTAGGATACTATTTCTGCCTTAATGACCATTATTTAACAATCCCAAGTAACTGATAACAGTTTTCCAGGCTCACCCACCAATGCTCAACTGGCCTTCATTATCATAAGTATTTTTGAAGACTAACAATTTGGAACGAAATGCAGAGCTAATCACAACGGTTTACACAAATCTTTTACTTCCCCTCCCCCAAGTGCTTAAGAAACTGTGAAATATACAACAATCAAGAGATAGACATATTGCAAAAGTTGTTACATGAAAATAAGGCTTTCACATCTTTCCAAGTCTGTTCTTTCCACTTGATACTGAGTCTTTCCCCAGACATGTTCAGAAGGCAAGATGGTTTAATATTGTTCTTGTTTTATGGTTTAAAACCAGGATTTTTTAGGATTTCAATAAGATACATACTGCATGGCTGACTAAGCAGCAGCAGTGTTCACAGACTTATTGAAACTTATATATTGTTTCAAAGCAACCATATGTTTTACTTACTTTACAATACATTACTGGGAACCCAGACATTTAAATCAGTTAAAAGAGATTTTTGCTCTTCTGAAAACTTCAGATATATGCTGATATATACTGATTTGCTTGGAAGGACAGAAGGAAAATGTTCTTGTGTTTTGGTATCTATACAGTATTTAGGTAGCACTGTGAATAGGCACAAACATTGAAGGACAGAACAGAGAGATGTGGAGTTCAGAGGATGCTGTCCATAAGATAATATATTGAAGGCAGTCTCAGAATTCTGCAATGTATGCAGGGACATTTATCACATTTTAGAAGACACTCCGTACTATCTTTAGTAAATACTGGAATTACTGAAAATGAAAACACTTCCCAATTTTCCTGTGTCCTATTCAAAAGTAATATTAGACCTCTTCTGTTCATTAAAGGCACTGATTCATTGCAACCTAAAATGTAAAATAATAGTCATTATCTGTCCCAAACTAGAAACTTTTTTGACAGTAGACTCAGATACGTACCTTGTGCTGATAATTGATAATGATTTAAGTGCATTTGTTAGCCAGGAGTCTGTCAGAGCTTCAATCTCTGCTCTTAATTGCAACCATGCATCTCTTTTAGCAGGACCCAGGAGTCCTTTCATGTAAAAAAAAGCAAGAAAAATAGAATTAAATTCTGAACGAGCTAGAGTCTATAGGTCATTGTTTCTATTTTCAATTTCACTAGAACTTGAAAAAACATCAAAATCTATTGTCTTCAAGGATCAGTAAATCTTTGGTTTCATTTGTACTTTATTATATGAAGCAATGTCAGAGATCGGCAGAGACAGACACAAGAGGCTTTAGAATAAACGGGCCTTTGCAGTATCTGCATATGTTTAACACTGCCCTGCTTATGACTGTATATAGATGAATGTCAGGTTACACACATGGAAATACATTTGTTTCCTGACAGCTTGTACTTCATGTCCAATTGTAGTTAGTAATGATAACTCCTTTCATAGCACTTATGGACCTGAAATGGCTGCACATCATATATTCTCATATTTCAGTTAGTCCTTAAAAGCACCTTAAAAATCTCTTTTTGCTTATAAATTGTCAGATTTTTAAAAATATCCAGCCTATCGAATCTTGAGACATGAAATCTTTGGAACCAAGATATTTTTTTAGATTTGGTCCTGGAAGAGCAGGGAAGCTGTCTTCATGACCATTAGTATCCCTCTTTAACACCCTAAGTTCCCAAGAAGTGGTGATGACTGTCTTCAAAAACCTGAAATGAAGTAACCTAAAAATATCTGGATTAGTCTAGCCTTTTGTTGCCTTCTAGCAGTACTTTGAAGTAAGCGGATACACATGTGATAAGATTATTAAAAATGCCAAGGAGTTGGGGATAAATGAAGAAACTTGCCTGCTAAGGACTTTTGAGAGAGAACAAAAACCCTAACACAATGCCCCACACATATGTACTCTGCTTTTGCAATGATTGTTCCTCTTAGTGTGTTTCCCCATGGTGTGCTCTTGGACTTGAGCTCTTATCAGTGTTAAAAGTTTTATGAAATGCAGCAGCTTTAGAACCTTAGATGCATTAAAAGCTGTAAGAAAATCCAGTAAACATTTGGATAATATTGGTTCAAGAATTATTAATATATAAGGTCTATTTATGACACCAATGAAGGATAAGGCCAATGAAGGACAAGGCAGAGCAAGTGCAAGTCAGCACTCTACTACCACCCTTTGGTCCTATTGCTTCTTCCTGTGGCAAGTAAAGACTGAACTACTGACAGTGAAAATATGTTACTGTAGCAATTATTGATGATTTCTCAGTATTCCCTGTTCTTACAGTGTCTTCTTCAGGGGGTCAGTTGACATATTTCCCTCCTCAGAAGAGGGATGGCTGTCCCTGCAAGTCAGACAGGACTCTCCTTTTGGATCTGCTGCTTGATTACCTACAAGCCTGCTGGTGCAGACATGAGGGAGACAATGAATGAAAAGAGTAACAGGACAGCTCTTGGCCCAAATGAGACTTGGACTTCTTGAGAACACAAATAACTGTGTAAACTACAGAGTCAACAAAAGGGGCTAGTGGCATGGCAGTGATAGAACTTTCTTGCACCCACTAGTGAAAACAGACTAGCAGGTACCCAGCAGAGAGTCTAGAAGACAGTCCATTGTTACCAACCAGATCTTGAAAATGGAGGATGGAAATGGCCATCCACAACCAATTTGAGCTGTGGAAACTGTACATCTTTCATAGACCAACAGCTTATTTGAGGTAGAATAAGTGGCTCAACCAATTAGTAAGGTAAGAATAGCTAGGTCTGAAGGAGGAAAATCGGCTCTGCAGAAGGTAAAAGGAAGCCTGCACAGTCTTCCCAACTTTGTTTCTCCTGTACAACAGCATAATGTTGGCTTTGCCATTACAGTCAGTAGCTTTCAAGAGCCCAAGGTCCAGTCACAGCACTTCCCATTCACTCCGTGGCTTTCCAGGCACATTCCCTTGGTGGGAGCTCGTCACCATGCAGTTTAGCCTGATCAGCGTTCTAAGTCAATTTTGACAATCAGACTCACCTCCTATGTTGTTCTTGTAAGTATTATACAACTCTTTTACTCTTCTGTAACGGAAAGCCAGCTTCCTCATCCAGTCAACCCCTCCTCTTACACCTGTTGGCAGACAAAGGTTTGCACTACTTGCAGCTGCATGGAAGCCATCAGTTGCAAAACTGTAGGTACTGCAAACACCCAAAATACAGTAAAAATAAATACAATGTATTCCTGTAAACACTCAAATTATTTAATCTTTGAAAAAAATAAACAAATGCTGTATCTTACCTTAGGTCTTGTCCATTATCATCAGAAGAAACATCATCAATATGAACTTGATCACACTCCTGTTGAAAAAAAACCCAAACCAAATGATAAATTATCTTACAAGGGAGTGTAATCTCCATCGCTGGAAGTGTTCAAAAGGTGTGTGGATGTGGCACTTGGGGATATTGTTGAGTGATGAACACGGTCGGCTGAGTTAATGGTTGGAGTTGATGATATCAGAAGTCTTTTCCAGCCTTAATGATTCTGATTCTCTGCTCACCACAGGCTTAGTACAGATGTTGAAATGACTGGTGCAGGTCACTAATCACACCAGAAGATGGCAGCGTGTGCACAGCCACAGCTTCCTAGCACCATCAGTGCCTTTAAAACAGTATAGCCTTCAACTCTTATACCATGTAAATTACTGCTTAAAGTAGGCCTTTAGAAAAGCAATATGCAATTTTGGTGCAATTTTAGAGTAAAAGTATTTTAATTGTAAAACCCCCAAAATTTCAAGTCTCATTTCTAGTCTCCCTAGCATAGCAATACTCCAAAATCACCTAAACCTAATTTTTCCCCTCCCTAAATGCTAGTGATGACAAACCTCACCAGGCATATAGAACTTATATCACGTGCTTTGGACTTCTATTAATTTATGCAAGTGCCTTTGGCTGGAAAATCACAGGTAAACAAGCAATCCTGGAGAACTTTATTATTTCCTGGTTTCAGAAGAGATGGAAGTAACTCAAAGGAACTGAGGTACATTGGAAAACTGAACTTCCCTCCAAGATGGTTTTGTAATTGAACAGCTATCAAATATCCTTTTCTGCATAGTAGTTAGAGCAGAAAGATCAGAAAATGTGGAGGAAGCACAATAAATAAATAAGTCAAGCCATCATGCATCATATCACTTTTTTTCTGTAGTTCCTTGAATTAACATCTTAACCCTGATAGACCTGAAATTCAGTGTCCAGAGATTTTACTTTCCTGTATGTCATTTTTTAATATTTAAAATAGCTATTGTTAACATAGTCCTAATATAATTTATGAAAAAGTTCCAAGATGTATTTAAAAATTGCTTCCCAATTAATATTTTCCAATAATTTATTCTTATCACTGAGGCAAAATAAAGCTGAGCTTTCAAAATGCCCAGTTCTGTGCCTCAAAGAAAGAGTTGTATGAGTCATCTATGTCAAATGAATCTGCTGACAAGAAGCACTTAATTCAGGCTCTCTGTGACATGCAGTAGTATGCAGTTCTAAGTTTCCAATCTTGGTCACATAACAGCGCTAAGTTGTACAGATAAGGGATAAATATGAGCAGAGGAGTGATTTCCAAATGTGTATGTCACAACCTCCTAGTGTGTGAATTGGGGGAATGACCATCTATCTTTCTGTTTTGTTTGCTTTGCAATAAACAAAAACTTGAGACTTTTTTACCCATGTGAAGTTGTTAAAAAAAAAACAAAGAAAAAAGGCATTTTTTCTAAATAAATACATATAGTTTCATTTTCAAATACACAATTTCATCACATTATTCAAGCAATCTTAATTTAAAATGTCGGGTCAAAGCTAAAAGAAAGAGTTGCCAAACTCTGCTCATCTGGTTTAATCCATTAAGACAGGCATGATAGAGCTGCGTACAAGAAACAGAAATGAAGCCTTCTTCTCCCCACTGGTGAAATAAAATTTTTTTGGTTCTGTCTGAGGAGATTGTATTGAGCTGCAGAATATTTTAAAGAAGCTGGTTTTCAATATAAATAGTAGATGAAAAGAGAAAGTAAAGGGGAAGCTGCAGCTGAAATAAAAGATTAACTTCTTTATCCTTATTTATTGTTTACATTCCAGAAAAAAGATACAACTATGCTTCACCCAGTGTCAGACAGGAGCTTGAAAATCAGACAAAAAGCCCCACTAGGAAAAATAACGACTCTTTATTTTGCAATATCTGAGCAATATCTGGCTTCCTAATCACTTTCACAGACTTCCCTGGAACTGGTGAAAGTGTAAGTTTAAAAGTTTAAAAAAATCATTCCTGTGGATTTGAAGCTGTACTAATTAAATGGAGGGCACACAAAAGCCTTGATGGATAAGGAGTGTCTGCTGCTGTTTGGGTTTTGTTAAGCCTTTCAGCTACATTGTTCCAGCCTTGAAAACTCTAGATAGCTGTTCTACTGATAATTTCTTTATTAAGTTAAATATGAGTGGGTAGTAAAGGCTCATCTGTTTACTTGTATTTTTCTGTCTCACAGTTCGTTCATTGTGATTCTGTGATTGACTCTGGGAACAGGATGGGGGGACTATGTAGTTTTCTGATTACTCACCCCTTGTCCCTGCAAGAAGGTTGTTAAGTATGTAGAAGATGAAACTCAACAGCACCCTCCAGCTTCCTCCTTTTCCCCCTTCCCCTTCTCCTCTCCAGTCTATGGGTCACCTCCTCTCAATATATTGGCAATACATATTTGCTGACCAACACAAAAATTCATGTGTCCAGCACTCCTTCCTCCGTTTTAGTTTTTCTTGTTTACTTATCTGCTTCAACTAAATGTTTACCTTTTACATAATGACATAACTTGTCATTAAAAAAACAACTTGCCATAAAAAAAAAGCAAAAGCAGGTGGTTTCAGCTGATTTGAGATAGTTCTCTGCTTTTCTCAAAAGAAACAAGAAACTGGTGCCACAACGCAACATCTGAGTTTGCCTTTAAATGACACCAAAAAGTTACAGGGAGGAAGGAAAGCACAAAAGCTCTCTAGCACTTTAAATGTTAAGGTAAAATACTTTTCACAACAGCTACAGTACTGGTTATGCTCAAGTCACAGTGCCTCACTGTCAGTGCAAGGTCAAAACTAAAAGAGATGAAAATGTATTTCCTATTACAGCGAGTACAAGAAAGGAATACAAAGTACAGTGTCTAGCTTTTGCTTGAAGCAAATACCAATTTCAATTACATCTGAGCGCACTCAATTATTTGGAGCAATTTTTAGAGACTGAGAATTTGAGAGTACAGAATCAACAAATCATCCATAAAAATTATCCTCCTGGAATGGAAAGTAATTTCATTATCCAGTAAAAACACTGACTTACCACTCTGAACACAAAACTGTTATAAACGAGAGGATATTCAGCACTATGCTTTTATAGGCTGTACATGTATATGTATGTATATGCTTCAGTCTGTTAAAACTAGTCTGACCTGTCTCCCAAATTCTGAGACCTGTCTAAATCCTATTTTTCATTTCAATTTCTAATGAGAAGAAAAAAAAAAGATGACAAAATCTTATTTAAATTTTGGTAGGATGAGCGTAAAAATGGAAATATAATTCAGTTTGTTTGAAACAAATACTCTTTTTTCTTCATTGTTCTCAGAGCAGAGGGGGATACTGGGTTGGAAGATCCAAGCCTGAATTCCTACTTGAAATTTGTAGAAATTGGGGGGGATTTATATGCATAGTATGCCTTACCAACATTTCTAAAAGCTGTCTTAAAATTATACTGAGATGGGAAGAAAAATGTAATTTTTTCCTTACCTGGTTGAAAATAAAATGCTTTAGTCCAGATATTATTACAAAACTGAGTCCCATCTCCATGAGTTGTTTAGGCACATGAACTTTCTAGAGCACCAGACTCCTGTTTTCATGGCAAAACACCAAGTGCCCTCCCAAGCGATACTTCTCAAGCTAACTAAAATTTATACACTGAGAATGCAATAGCTGGAGAACAGCCTAGCCTGAAATAAAAGTGCAGCCTGGCTGATTAGAACATGGGTTACTGGGTCAGCAGAGAGTGTCTCAGCAGATTGGAATTTCTGCATCAGCAGTCATTGTAGTGAGACAGATTTGCATAGAGGAAGGAAAACTTTATTTTTGTATGCGATAAATTCAGTAACTTGGTTATTATTACTAGACCCTGGTATGTGGTGTTTGTAACCACGAAAGACAGGGCAAAAAAGAGAGCTTAGAGGACAGAGTGACTGGAGGCACTATTACAGGAATATAGGTTCAGTAGTACATGACAGTTGTCATGTCTGGATCCATGAGGTTTATTGTGGGATGAAGATAAAAGCAAGACAGAAGGTATGGGACCTGAGGGCCCACCATTAAAAATGTGAGACGATGAAAGGATAAGTAATGTGCCTAGTGAATAAAGGCCTATCTCACTTCCTCCAGTAAGAACTGAAGGTCTCTTGTCTTGACAGCCATGATCATCAGCAGCTCAGCACCCACCTCTGCTCTCCTCGGGGAGGACTGAGAGAGGAAGACAGGGAATGGAGAGAGGACATGAGAGAGAGACTCCAAGTCAGAATCAGGAAATTCTTGAAATTCATCATGCAGATGCACTCTAATGTTCAGTAATAGCCATGTGCTCTGAAAACACATTTAAACAGACAGATTTATTCATCAGCATATTAAAGGGTGTCTTTACATACTTTGACACTTTATCTGATTTGCTAAGAAGATAGAAAATTGCTGGTCTTCTCATACATGCCAGACTCCAAGTCAGAATCAGGAAATTCTTGAAATTCATCATGCAGATGCACTCTAATGTTCAGTAATAGCCATGTGCTCTGAAAACACATTTAAACAGACAGATTTATTCATCAGCATATTAAAGGGTGTCTTTACATACTTTGACACTTTATCTGATTTGCTAAGAAGATAGAAAATTGCTGGTCTTCTCATACATGCCAGAATGTATCCATACAACTTGTATGCCAGAATGTATATGCATGACATGAGTCATTACAGAACAAGAACCTTGGAATTTTGGTAATCTTATAAGAGAGTTGTTTTTGAAACAAAGATCAATTCTGGGCTCTAAAAGATTTAAATTCTCATAGAAATTGCAATCATTAATTGCATATAGAAATTGGTTTTACTCAAATCAAACTGATTGAATTATGAGACTAGCCAAGACAATCCCCAAGTAGTATTTTTTGACTTATCTAAAACTGGAAACTATTTGGATACTGCTCAAGCTCTGGAATGAGCTGGCGTATGAGTTTTTGGACAGGATATTAAAACCACCCTATGAAGACTATCCAAAATGTGATGATCCACCTATGACAGCTGAACCTCTGATCTACAAATAAAATAAATGAGAGAATGGAATGAAGCTTCGATGGTCATGAGCAAGAATAAACAGGTATGGAAAGAGGGCAAAGCTCCATTTTATTAAACTCTTCCACTTGAACTCAGCACAAGTTTGAAGAACTCTGGGAATATTCTACTGAATGTCTTAAAGTTCATGCCACATGAAATCTGAACACACAGGGGCGAAGATCTGCTAAAAAGCAAGTTAAGAAATGCTTTGAAAAATTTATTTGGAATCTCTCCCTGGTATAGGGCACCAGAAGGAGAACATGCACTGGCATTATGAAGTGATGACTCACCAGAACTGCAACAAAACATTAACTGGGAAAGGTATGTCCAGGGCTTTGCATTTCTGTTGCTGGAAGGAGGAAGTGCAGTTCAAGTGTGAAGTAGACTCCAGTTTCTCTCAGCTCTTTAAAAGAGCTAAGAATAAATGAGATCTGCAAGGGATGACAAGGACAACCACAAACTGGTACCTTCTGCTTTTCTTAGTGCCTACAGTTGATGAAGGAACAAAAGACACACTAGAAAAATCAACATCCCAGTGGATGGAAAAATCTTATTTATTCTATTCACTCATCAGGGACCCTTCTCTGGGATTCTAAACACAGCCTCTAAATCTTCCAGCTGCATTAGTAGCAAATATCTGTCCATGGAGGGAACTGTGGGATCATTCGGAGCAAGAAAACAACTGTTTTAGAACGGGGAAGGTGTGAAAAGTCAGTAGTGTAATTTGAAAACTGTTTTGTCACTCCCTGTCTCTGGCCACACATGGCTGTAAGAGTGTCTCCTTCCATGTTAACAGACCCAGACTCCCAGAATGAGATAAAAAGCCTGTGAAGCCCAGCTGATGAGCCTGTTTCCTAGACCACTGTCCCTACAACAGTCCATTCATGTGCTTCTGACAGGTGAGCTGTCCACAGAGGCACTTACTGGAAGAGGCCTCTCCCTTTTCTAACCAGATGCCAAGTTGTGCACCTTGGGTATATTGTGACAATACATGTGGTTGCCTGGTTACCTTGGGAAGAGACATCACTGATGAGTTTATCTATCACAGTCCCAGCATTTGATACTGCCATCTTTGAGGTAAAGGAAGAATATTCTACATTTGAACAAGAAACAGGCCTGTGGCCAAAAGGCTACTCAGGTATGTCAAGAGATGAGCATAGTCTTATGTGTTCAGATGATAGCACCCACTGAAAGCAAATATAGAGAACTTCAAGAGGAGAATGTGAGACATGTATGTTCTCCTCCTGGAGATGACAGCAGACAGCTCTACATCCATGGGAACTGAAAAGATGGCTATAGGACAAGGGAAGGAATGAGTAGTTTTCAGGTTTTCTCTCAATGAGTTTCATGGAAGGACTCTGGTGCCACAGGAAGTCAGTGCCATCTGGCTAACATCTCCCTGATTAGCGTATGACAAACCCCAGGACTAGACAGCTAGAAAATGTCACACACAATAAACACTAATGCACAGCAAATGTTAAAAAACCCAAGAGTAATGATGTTTACATTCCTTTGATTCTTACCTCTAAATCATTAAAAAATAAATGTGTGTCAGCAAGATTAAAAATCATTTCTTCCATTCGCAGTCCAAGGGTCACTGCCATTGGTGGATCCTTAAAAACAGAAAGCAAGGTTAACTATTTACATATCTGTAAATTATGTCAGAATTACTTTTAAAACTGCTGCATACAAAGTCTTTTGAAAAATTTAGGATTTTGAAAATCAAGGAATTTGTAACCTGGCTGAACTGACAGGGAAAAACCTGGTGGCCATAAGCATATATGAAAACATAAACAAGCCTAAAGAAGGCTGGAAACAGAGAAGGAACTTTTCACAAAAGATGTATGTAGGAAAATCAATCTTGGTCATCATCAAAAGAATACACTACATTTTTAAACCCTGAGCCTTTTATAAAAATATGTAAGCATCTTCCTTGACAATTTATGGGCAGGAAAAAGCTGAGTCATGGAGCAGTAACTAATTTTTCTGTCCCAATGCACCAACTCATTGTCAGTGGTAGGGACTAAGTTACTTCATGTATCACCCAGTCCACTGCATAATTCTTCCGATACGCTGGCATTTCTTCCCAATTTCGGGGCATGCAGAAGTCCTCATCAAGGTCATGTAAACTGGACTAGGAAATGTACTCATCTCTTCCAGATGTTTACTTTGTAAACAATTACAATACTGTGATAGGAAGGTGTGACTTAAGTGGCCTTTTCCATTTCTAATATCTTTGCTTTATAAAAATAGTAAAGGTAGTCTGTATCTATGTCCATTTCCTCAAACTGAGTTTCGCTTTGGATAAATCGTCACTGCTTTGTCTATACTTAGGACTACATCACTTCTTTCCCACACTTTCTTTCACTGCAGTATGTAGCTTCAAAACTTGCATTTGATCCTTCTCTGTCTCCATATTTACCCTTCTTCCATGCAGGCACTCACTGATGAATTTCTGGGCTCTTCGTTATGAGTTTTTTTTATTGTAGGTACTCATTCAACAAAGTGCCAGTAAGTGTTCTTCCAAGTGTTTCTTCAGTGTGCCTACAGTCTATGGCATGATTCTTTAGGTGGTCCACAGGAATAGGAAAGCTTATGTAAGTTTGTTTGCTTGCTACAGATCATCCCTTCATTTCTGATAAAGCACAGGATTCCTGTTCCTGGGTGAGATTCATTCAAATGTTGCATTTGAATGCATTTCAATGAAATGTTTGCATTCATTCAAAATGTTGCATTTGTTTGTAGGTCATCAAATCTCTCTACCTTGGCTTTACCACAAATCTACCTATCTACAGCAACACAATCTGAGAGCATTAAGTATACAGCAAATGTAAGATAATTAATTTAAATATTCTACGTTTGCTAGGAAAGAGGTAAGGCAAATTTGCATTATCTTATATTTCTTTTAGAATGCTTTGCTGACACCAGGTAACTAGTTTAAGTATTGCCTTAACCATCTGCCTGAGACTGTGGGGTTTGGTTAACATTTTTTTGCTTATCATACTGCAATGGACTTTTAAAATATATGTGATCCTCTTCTCATTCAAATATGAAAAAAAATCAGTATGTCGTCATATAAACTCTGATTGACATTAGCAAATTTTTAGAAATCCCTTCTAAAAACCTTGAGATTTAAAATGTAGATGTTTATCAGCATCTAGCAGCAAAATTACAGAAGATTTCAAATGGTCATTTGTTAGTATTACTATCAAAGGCTTCCCAACCAGGATCAGACACCCACTCCTCCACCGCCTTGCAATGCCCTCAAGCACTTGATATCTAATGGCAAAATCTGAAACACAGAAGCATTTTGACTCTTGATTGTGGAAAAAGTCATACTCGAAGGAGAGAACAATGTTAAAAAAATGGAAATGATCCAATGTTAGACCAAATTCTCTGGCAGTGAAAGGAAATACTTTTATGGTGACTCTTGAACTGGTCTAGACTACCTTTCAGAAGTAAAAACCAAATGCAGTGCCTAGTTACACAACTTCACTCACTCTGTCTTCTGCAGTCATGTTCACTGGATTTGAAAGTCACATGGCTGAAGGCAGCAGCAGGTACAAAGGACAGTTTTTCAAGGGGATGATTAAGGAACACACACTAATGGATTTGCAAAACTCATGTTAGTCACTTAGAACACAAATCATCAAAATACCCTGGATTCATGAGATTCCTCATCAAGCCATAATACTTTTACCAAAATGTCATCACATAGAAACATGTGTTTCTCCCTACTTTCTTTAGTGGTTTTTTTCTGTGCACAATAAATAACTTTTTTTTCTGGATACACTATAATAGGGAGTGTTTGCAACATGCTGCTTTGCCTCAATCCTATGAACACTTAAGGCATGTGCATAACTTTATGTACAGGTGGTAACTCATTATTATTTATGTAAGTAAGTTATTCGCTGGAGTGCTTCCAAAACTGGAATCTCAGACTTTTGATTCTCGGCCTCTTTTCACCCCTTCCTGGGTAGAAGCAGACTTGAATACAGAAATTTGCTATAGCATATTCCATTATAATCCAATTTTTTTTACAGAAACTACCAACTATGTAAAACAATTTCCTGCCTTGCCTAGAACAGTTGAAAGACATAAATGTGACAAAGCTTTTATGATTTTCTTATTAATAGTAGTTTTGTAACCAACTATGCCTGACTTTATTACTATTAAATTTATATTTCCTATGTTCCTGTTTTGACAAGGGCATGAGAAGGATATTGCTAGGTACTATATGTAAAATAAATAAAACCAAACAAATAATTCATTTCAGCTTATCATAAAATCACTCTGGGATCTCCGCATAACAACTTTTGCTAAGGAGAGTCACTGGAATTGAATACTCAAGACATGAACAATTCTTCCTTTAATAAAATGAACATAACTGTTTAAGAAGAATTAACCATCACATTCCAGTTCTTGCCACGTTAAGTTATTTCCTTCACATACAAAAATAGACAAAGAAACCTGATTTGTCAGGGTCTTGTGGTTTTATAGTGTTTGCACAATGTGGAGGAACATCCCAATCATAGTTTTATTGTCTTTCAACTTGAAGCAGAAGTTACAGACGAATTCAAGTGGCACAAAGAACTGAGTGGTGAAAAGAAATCAAGAAATGTGCAGCTGATACAGATTTTAGCGCAGCATATTGAAAAACTTAATAAGAGGCAGACTGAACCTCTGCCAAAATGGTATTTTGTACTACTCTGCACAAATACGCACAAAAGAGGAAACAATGATTAAAAAAAATCTTGAAGTTTTTCCCAGATAATCTGCAGAATAAAGAACAACTCCTTGGCCCTCAGAGGCATGATGTTAGCCAGATAGCATTAGCATGCAGAAGAATCAAGACCAGCTACAGCACTTCTGTATACCAAAATACAAATTACTTTAGTTACGTTAGGATCAAGGCACTAAACTGGAGCCAGACTGTCTGTCTGTAGGCTTCTGTACTAGACTGGTCCATCCACTGGAATGCCTCCTGGGAGACTAGATAAAAATATCCTGGGAGGACCAATATTTAAATGTTTTGACCAGGAGGTAAGTGAATGGAATAAAGCCCCAAAAGCTCAGTGTTCGTTAGTGGAAGAAATCTATTTAATACTGTCTTGGAATGTCAGGTTTCATCAGATGTTCAAAATAATTTCACTTCTTAGAAAAAATACAAACACCAAGCTGATTTTTATAAAATCTCAGAAAACAAATAGATAAATAGATTGCCAAGTAGATTAATTGTGACAGGAATTTGCATCATGAAGCTTTAAAAACAAGCAAGACAACAAGCAAAATATATGAATAATATTGTAAGAATTGATTTTCAGTGCGTGGCGGTCCTGAACAGGACCTCTGGAAAATGCGGAAGTGCTTAAGTACCAATATTTTTAGGTTAAAGACACTTTCCTATATTGTGAAGCAATCTTGGATTTAAGTTCAGCTCTCACTCTCTCATAGGGGACACTTGTCCCAGGAGAGATTCATATGGGTGTCAATGGAGAAGGAGAATACATCTCTTCTTAATAACCATATCTGGTGGCTGATGAAGGAAAACTCACGTACTCCATAGGGAGTTTCTGTTCCACAATCTCTAGAAGGCGGTAGGAAAATCAACTCAGAGGTCTCAGACAAGGAGGGAGTGAATGGAGAGGACAACTGGAGGTGATGAGAGATACACTATTAATACAGGTAGACAAGAGAATAATTATGAGTGAATTTGGGAATGTCATCATGGGTGTTAATGCTGACAAAGTTTTTCTGTTTAGTGACTGGACAAGCAGAGAGTGAGCAATAAAAAGCTTCTGAGCACTTTCCAGAGAAGCGTACAAGGTTAATGCAGCCTCCCTGACAACTTTCTGTCATTTGCAGTGTTATAAAAAAAAGGCAAAATGTGATCATCAAGTGTGGATTTGTTTTGATTTTTGCACTTAGAAATCACATTTTCTCCCTTCTAAGCTCACAAAAGACTTTTATTCTTTTATTTTAACCAGCTGCACCTTGAGTCACAGCATTTATCTGGGCATCCTTGCCCTCTGGATTGACCTGGGAGCAATGAATGAAACATAAATGCTCAGAGGTAGACAAAATTCCAGCTTAATCAGCCTTCAATCAGCAAGAATAACTGGAATGTAATGGAACAAATACACACTGTTCACAGGGAAAAAGAATGTACCTCATAAACTTTTAACAGATGATGACATCTCCTAACACATGTCCTGTCACATCAACAAATGCTCACTTAAGAACTCAGCACTGTAGAAAACTGTAACTGCCAACTGGTGCTCAGCTGCAAAAACCATCATCGTCCACACAGGTCTCAATATAACAGCTCCAATGCCAATGTTCGTAATTTGCTACTGCAGTAAGTAATTAAAAATAGAAATGTACTAGATTTATGAAGCATGAAGCATACAAGAACACAAGCTGAACAGCAAAAGGTACTCTCACTGCTGGGAAGCAGCTCAGTTTCCCTGAAACTTAACAGAGGTATAATGTAGTTTTTATTCTCTTTTTATGTTAGCTCTGACCAGTCCAATAAAATAACCACTACAGCAAAAATCAGGAAGAAACACCCACAGGTAGGAAACAGCAAGGCACAGGATATTCCTCTGGGTAAATTTTATATTTTAAATGTAAAAATGATATATTGACCAGCCTCTGGCCAAATCTCTCCCAGTTCACTGGAGTTTAAAGCTATATTCTACTGGTGCCCAGATAAGCAGCAGCAATTTGCCCTGTGTTTTAAATGAGATGTTTACAGCTGCATCCAACAAGTTAAATCTTTCAATAAATCACTAATTTTGTTTTTAACCTGGTTATTATAACAGCCCTAGAAAATTCTGGAATACAATAATTATCACACCATGCAAAGTGCTGAACAAGTATATACCAAGGAGAGTGTCCATTCTCAACTTCACAAATCCTTAGGCATAAGTCAGAAATCTGATGTTCTCTTGACAAATATACAACCTGAAACTTGCCTACTGGATTCAGGCCTTCCCAAATAATGTCTGCCAATTAAATCCCCCAGTGCCTATGGGGGTTGCCTTTCCTTTTTCTCATCTACTTCAGCCACTTATTAAACTGTAGAAAACTTTTGAAAGAGAAAGTGTTCGTCTCTGGGTACAACTGCAGCTCTTAAGTGGTTCTGTATTCATATATGGATCCTATCATCAGGCCATAATATGCTGCACCTGCCCTCACTACATCCTTGTGCAGCCTGAATTGCAGCAGAACAGAGGGGATAAAAGTCTAATTTCTGAATTTTTGTTTTCACTTGGTAACTGAGAGAAACAGGGAGAAGAGGTACTGAAAACAGGGAATGAAAGTTTGAAAGTCAAGGAGTAGATGGGAAAGGTGAATATCCTTGCCTGTCTGTATGTTCACACTAGCTCTAAACTCAGCACTTCATTCCTTGCAAGTATGAAGTGGTATAAGAAGATGCCTTTCCTTAAAGCAATGTCTGCGTTAAAGACACACTATTCTCATTTAGATTATTTAAATATAGGAGAAGGGGAAAATTCTGGTTTTCCTGTGAGGTTTTATTTTTTTGTGGTTTCTTTGTTTTTTGGGAGTAACCCAATTATGTTATACAAAATGGGCTTATAAAATACATATGGAAAAACATGGCATGCACAGCTGAGCATCTGTATGACATTAGATGCCTATATTTTTAAAAATAAGATAGCAATTCACCACAGTTAAATAATTTAGTATCGCCACTATTTTCCACAACCCTGTTTCTTTTTTTTCATTGTTTAGTAACAATTTTATGCCACCTTTCCAGGATAAACAGCTCTCTGAAGACTTTTGAAAGACCCATGTACTCACAAGACTTCCACTAACAACCTCACAATTCCTGGAGAATTCCTTCTCTCATAGCAACCCAATTCTCATAACAATCCAATTCTCAGACTGGATTAAGGCCCTGTATACAGATGAAAATCATATGGAGGAAAGATAAGGAACACATCTGCTAAAGATGTCATGCACAAGAGACTGAGTGATGTCCAGCTGTGGTATCTTTCCCTTCTCCCATTTCTAACCTCTTAAGCACATAGGCTCAAACATAACCCACCTCAAGTTTAGGCAACACTTCAATGACATGTAAAAGTTAAAGCCTACTCATGATAAGCTCTCCCTGTATTCCCTTTTGTATTGCTCTAGCCTCCTTGCAGTCAGCAATATATATATTTGAGTTCCACTGGTAATTACACGTTACATTCCCAACAAGTTCTATGTAAATATGGCAACAACAGTCATTGCAGGAAGGAAAAAGCCTCCTACTTTTATTCTACAGTGTCTAGAAACGAACACCAACCCTACTTGTGTGGATGCCACCTCTCAGTACAAGAAAAAAAGGAAAAGAAAAAGAAAATAAAAAAAAAGGACTTTACTTAAGAATTCCTGTCCTCTTGCTTCATAGTCATCCATAGTCATCCACGACATTTGTTTACTGATGCTGATCTCACTATTATAACTAAATTAATTTCACTTACCCTTGAGATACTCTTGGTTTATACAAGCCAACTTTATCTGCTGTCAGTACTACTGGCTGTTAATATGCCATTACTGTTTCTATGGTAAAGGACTTTACTTAAGAATTCCTGTCCTCTTGCTTCATAGTCATCCATAGTCATCCACGACATTTGTTTACTGATGCTGATCTCACTATTATAACTAAATTAATTTCACTTACCCTTGAGATACTCTTGGTTTATACAAGCCAACTTTATCTGCTGTCAGTACTACTGGCTGTTAATATGCCATTACTGTTTCTATGGTCTCTGTATGAAGAGTCAATTTTAGCAGCAGATGTGTTCTTAAAGAACAGTGGTACTGGGATGTTTTCAAATATGCTTACTCCTAACAAAGTGGGAAACTAAGAGGAATTACATTTCTGTTGCTGTCTCCAAGACAGTTTTCAAAGTTATCCATAAATGTTTTGTAAGCTACAAAACGTGCTCTGACTTTTAAAACTTTGTATTAAAGTTGACTTAGAAAACATCCTAAGGGAACAATTAAAAAAAACAAGGATGAAAGGACTGACTGCTTTACTGGGGCAGTTCAGCAAATCCTGTGGCAGTCTATGGGCTACTCTCAAAGTGATAAAAATGTTCATGCTCAGCTAGGTTTCCCTCTTGTTTTGATAACTATTCATTGGAAACGGTTCTGACAAAGTCACGGTTGTTACACTGTTTGAAAAATAGCAGAAGAGGATTTTTTGACAGAGTACTGAAATGTGCACAGATTTGGCACTGTGAAGCTGCAAAGCAAGCAAAGCTGTTTTTCACAAGACACGAATAACTAACCTTATCTTTGCATTCCAGAAATTCAGATTTTTCACTTGCCCTGTGAGTTTTCCTATTAACTTCCTCTTTTAATAAGCACAAAAGGCTGACCATGTGGAAGACTGGCCCATCAGGGTTATAATCTACAGTTTCTGGCTTTGGACATTTCTAACCCACTGGCTGGGGAGGTGAGTGTGAAAAGCATTTCCATAATGTACGGTTTCTCGCATCCTTTCCTCAAGCACCTGGCTGGAATAAGGAGGCTGGAAACATCCTAAACAAGCCCCTTATCTGATATAGTATGAACACAGTCGTGTTCTTAAAAAGAAATACCTTTGCATTAATTTCATTTGACATGGCACAACACAGAGAAAATCACATATGTACATACCAATATTCCCCCTGTCCATTTTCTTTCTTCCATACATTTGCTTTGATTCTTTGTTTTATCCAGACTTTTAGCTCTAACCTTCCCATCAGTCTGCTCCTGTTGCTTTGCACCAGCCCATTCTCTCCTTGCCTGAACAGCCATTCCTTGGGGTCCCACCACCAACCCAGTGGGGCTTGCTGCTGTCTCAGCTGCTCCCTTACATTCAGCAGGGGAGCAGGAGCTCCTGTAGGCTTCCACTGCCTCTTTGCCTCCCTTGCTCTTTTTTGTTCCCTCCTGCTCACTGCTCTGTGACCTGAACTCCATTTGGATTCACTGGAGGAGAGAAGATGCTTAAAACTACTTGGGAGAAAGATTCACTCCCCAGCATTACTCACCACAGAGCCAGCCAAGGGAGCTAAACATTCAGTGGAAAAGGTGGGGAGTCAAAGAATAACATCTGCAGCTGGCACTGACTCTTACTCATCCTGATTCATCAATTTCCCTGTAAATTCACCCACCACTCCAGTTTCTTCCTCCATGCTTCCAGATACTGTCAGTTATTTCCATTTGTGCACTTCATCTATTATCTCCCTGCAATGTCTCTTCCAATGCACTTCAGGAACCTCATCCTTGTTCCACTATAAACTGTTTCCTCATTTGCAGCATCTGCTTAAGCCCTTCCACATATATGTGCTTAGTTAGGGTCTGTGTCTCATTTCTCCTCTTGACTTTTTCACATTAACCCTCTGAAAATGAGGTTTATTGTACACTTTCCCCCTACCTTCACCAAAGCCATAATAAACATGAAAGGTGTAAAACATGTACATATGCAAGACAAATAGCTCTGATAACAGTGAACGGACACAGAATTCACAACTCACATACCTTGCCATATTTCTGCGCATAGGATCCTGTAAGGAGCGAATGAAAAACTATGATCGTTTCATCCAAATCCCAAACAAATACACGCTGAAAACAGAATTGGGGAAAATATTATTGAACAAATAACAACAAAGTCCCACCACCATCCCATCCAGGCAGAGCTAAAACTCAACTGAGTTTACCACGTCTAAAGTTTAATCGTGCACTTAACTGAGCAATTTTCCTCTGAAAATCATCAATACAGTGTATCATGCGTGGTAAAAGGTCAAAAGAAGAGTAGATTTTTAAATCTTCCACCATTTCTTATTTGTCCTCTAAAAAACTTTTCACAAAAGCTCTATAACACAGATTTCAGAAATGTGGAGAGGGGTCAAATGTAATTGTTAAGGATAAAAAGTGCTTTCAGATACTTCTCTGTGAGCCTTCTTCATTTCTATTGTGCAGCTACAATTAAATCTTGGGTAAAAGTACTATATACCACATATAATACCATACAGAATTTAAATAGTATTGTAGGATAAACTAGATTATTCTAACTCAATTTCATTCATTCAATTTCACTCATTTAATTTTCACTGGTAAGCTATAAAATAACCCAGCAACAGCAAAATATACCCCTCTGAAATGTAAGAAATTAGAGTCTCTTCACTGGCAAAGTTAAATCCTATAAGAAGCAGAAAATGGATAAGTTACAGAACTAAAGCAATGGCATTCACATCCAGTGCCTAGCCCTGCAGCCCACCCAGGCACCCCAGGAGTGTCTGTGGGGCCAGTCAAGTCTCTGGAACAGTTTTGTCTTCTGCTGTCCCCAGAGCTGGTCAGCAAAGGCAGAGCAGCGGGGCTGGCCAGGGCTGCTGGCTCCCAGTGCTTCTCTGGTGGCAGCAGGGGACACGCTGCACTGGCAGGCAACACGTCCCTGATCCCAGAGCTGGAGTGTTACACACACACACAGGCACTTCACTTCCTCCTCCTCCTGTTACTGTAAGGCAGTGCACTGCTAACCCCAGAGTAATCTGACTATAATTACTCCATTGCTAAGAGGTCACCTGTGCTTGAAATTGTCATCTAATATATTAGGCAGATATATTTCTTCACTAAGGCACTGATATTGCACTTACTTAAGTACAGCCATAACTTCACTGATGCAAGCTGCCTCATTGACATCCACTGACATTACTTACAAGCACAAGGACAAACCAATGCCTAAGTGTTCAAAAGGCATTGGCCAGATGATCCTACATGTTTACACTGCATCATAAATACATGCAATTAAGCTGAGAAATATATTTGAGATTTACTATTAAAAAAAAACTAAAAGAAAATGTGCAACTTTGAGTACAGATCTGCAGTTCTATTGCATGAAAAATGGTGACATGCAGTTTGAGAGCTAAAGAGTGCAAGGCTGAAACACATTTACCTTTCTGCCTAACTCTGTCGTGCGGAACAGTAACGTGTCATTGTACATGTATGTTAAAAGAGCGACTGATCTCTGCTATATTCAGTTAGCGAGACTGAGTCCATAATGTTCTCTAAAATGCTTTAAGCTATTTCCACAGCTGCAGTTTTCAGAATTTACACTCCACATTAATATTCATCAATTAGCACATGCATACCTCCAAGTCACTGTCCGGAGGGGGTGATGGATTATTCTTCCGCCCTCTACCCCGAGACTTTGACCCAGAACTCCTACATGTTCTCTCATCAAGATCTTTGATTGGCGTGGAGGGACTCTGCACTGTGTCAAATTCCCCTGTAAAGTCAACCATTCATGTCAAAATTAGTGCTGGATTTTTAGTAATAAACTTTTTTCCCCCCCTCAAAGCTAGACATGTCTGTATGCAAACTCAATGACAAGATACACATAAAAGAGTTGTACAAAATGAGTGATAATGTGGTTTGGTTTATATAGCTGCAATCCGAAGATGGCACATACACTTTTGACTTTAGCAATGAAATATTATAAAACTTAGCAGAAATAAGAGAAAGATTAAAATGCCACATATGCATGTGCTTATATATATATACAAATACAGATCAGCTCAGGCAAAATATCAATATGGCCAAAGAATATGTAGTTTATAATGGCTTCTCAAAACATGAAGCACCTTTTAGTTAAGGTAGATAGTTTCCCATGTTTGCAGGTCAGCTAGACCTACTTCCAAGTCCTGCATTTGTTTTATCAGAACACCCTTTGGCACCAATCCATGCCCCAGAACAGCCAGGCAGCTTCCTGCTTCATCTCCTCCTCTTGTGTCACTTGCTCTTTACTAGAGGTCATTCTTTTTTTCACCTTATCTCTGCCCATATATTGGCAGAGGAGTCATATTAAATGCAAAATTCCAGTTAGTACCTGAAAGAGGATGAAGTCATACTTGCTGTGTTCTGATCATCTTTCTCTAAGTATGATGCATTGTCACAGACAAGATGTACCGGAAGGACCTTTGATCTGGTATGGCATTGCAGGTCTTAACCACACAAGCCTATGCCTGATACACACATGTAACCTACTTTCTCTCTGGTGGTAACAAAGGGCTTTAGAGGTGATTACAAACCAGTAGCTATGTAAGACAGACTGACCAAAGAATGCACCTCCAGGAAGGATGGTGTGGAACTTCTCTTTACAAATTATTTTAATGATATAGCTCAGTAAATGGAAAAATATGATTTTCTTCACACAGTGTCCCTTTAAAACTGCTAGCAATAAATGCAGTTTGGCTAGGTTCCTGAGTGCTAAATGACATAAAACCTACTTCATCATTTATCCAAATCATTAATGATTTGATTTTTCTCCTTTAAAGAAGGAAAGGGTACAGCTTTGATATAACATCTACTACAGAGTTTGATTCAAGGGAGTCTTTGAGCTGCCTGTAATTGTGCATTTCTGGACTGCTTTGGTGATATTTGTTAAAAGTGCTCATGATGGCACATCTGCAGAATAAATTAATACTTGGTATAAACATTTCCCAAGAATTATCTATGATCTATTTGAGCTGAGTTCTGAATATTTTTCTCATTTTTACTAAAGAGCATCACCGAGTGGCCTACAGATCAAGGAAATTGATTTTTCTGCTCTGTTCTGAACTTTCCAAACCACATTTGGAAAAATGCCTAGTTTTGGGTCCTCAAGTAGAAGGGAGATACTGACAAACTGGAGATAGTCTAGGTGAGATCCACCACAACAGTTAAGGGGCTGAGTGACAAGAGGCTAACTGAGTTTTCATACAGGTATGCAGAGAAAGGACTAGATGCACAGACAGAAATCACAGCAAGGGATAATCCTGTCAGATATTAGGAAAAAATCCTTCACTGTGAGAGTGGTCAGGACTTGGGATGAATGATCAGAGGCTGTGCATTCTCCATCCTTGGAGATACTCAAAACACCATTGGACACATCCCTGAGCAACATTATCTAACCTGGCTCCTCCATGAGCATGTAGGACCAAAAGACCCAGAGAGGTCCCTTTCAATGTGAACAATTGCATATTTCTGTGGTCTTCCTCAAGTCATTCATCTCATTGTTCCTCCACAACAAAATAAAAAAAAATTCGGGTCTAGCAGGCTTTAAGAACTAAAAATAGACTGCAGACTGAGTTAAGAGTCTGCAGTAACATATAATGTAACACAATAGTTGAATTCTTAATCTCTTCCATTATTTGTTTATACCTTACAGAGAACCACACACAAAAGATAAATCTTGAGGAGAAAAATACTGTTGTATTATTTGGAAGAAAAAGACTCAAGCCCATAATGTCACATTCCTAAATGGGAGCTCTAGACATTGTGAGGAAAGTATTCAAGACTCAAGGAAAGGGGAGAATAAGAAGAAACTTGGTTCCTGAGCCTATTGGTTAGATCATTTACCTGAAGAAGGACATATCTAGGTTCCACTGCCTTCTCTGGAATACACGTGTTTATTTGACTGAATGATTGATTTATATGAAGTATAAAGACTTATTTCCATGGCACAGAACCTACAGCCTTGTACCCATGTGGAAGGTGATGAAACCTCCATGAATCAGAGAGAAATCAGATCTCTTTCTCTCACTTCCTGGGAAAGTATTCAAATCATTCTGTAATTACCTGGAAGAAGACACTACTACTTTTTTCTCAAACTATGTGATGACTATTTCAAGGTCATAAAACCAATGTGCTTCACTGCTTGCACAGAACAGAGCAAACCTTTCAGAGAGAGGCTAAGAAGAGATTTACAAAATTGCAATTTGGGAATTTATTCCAGATATCATTTTAGATAGCTCTGTCCTGAACTGGATAAGCATTATATGCATTCTCTAGTAGTTTCTCTTTCAGCTAAAATTCTTATTTGATGAAAAATGTTGGGAAAATTAAGCAGCAATAACAGTATCTAATGAATAATGTTCCCATTGTGGTTTTGCTTGTCCCTACAGAATGGAGAGAGAGAGAGAATTCTTGTTGACTAATCATTCCTATTCCCAGCACGGTGTTGATGTCAGTAATGACACTGCAGGAAGTGAATTGATCAATAAGGTCACATTATCTTACTTCTTTCCCCAGAAGAAGAACAGCAAAATACACTTCAGTAATGGTACAAATGTACAAAAAGAAGCTTCCTAACCAGAATCCTGTGTAGCAAAGGCCTATACTGGCTTTAAAAGAAGTTCTGAGTGTGCAGGACTTCTGTATGAAATTATGATTTCCTAGATTTTTCTGACAGAGTGGAAAAAATGCCCCAAACAACCAAAAATGAAAAGGCAAAAATTAAGCGAAGATGAATGTTTACATTCTCACCACAAAAGTCTTCATATTTATAACATTTCAACACTTTACAACATAATCAAGACTCATTTCTACAGTAATGCATTAAGGCATCTGTTATCAATGCCTGAGATCATACCAATCTACCAAAAATGTATTATTTAAAAAAGGTCTGTCTAAACATTCTCTGAAAGTATCCAACAACTGAAGTAAATAACTTCAGTTTTCATTTAGCATTACCAATTGCCCCAGAATTCTGCTTTGGTCAATGCTGTACACGATTGCATAATTATCTATTAATCAGTACTGTAACTAATCACTGTACCTTGTAAAATCTAAAGCCAACTTTATTTCATTACGCTAATCTCTAAATCAGAGTAAGCAGCTGTCCCTCACTTGAACGCAAGGTATGCATCTATTTTAGAACTGCAGAAGTCAGTAGTGCATGTTTTTTTAAACAACTGTGGGCTTAATTGCTAGACTTGCTTTTTACCAACAGCAGGCTAAAGGAGCAACTGCATTTTCTTATCCTCTGTTTACTTTAAAAATTATGCCAGTGCTGATAAAAGGAAAACATTAAAAATTCAGCCATGTAACATAAAAGAATGTGAGAAATTCTAGTACCAAAGAGTACTGAAAACATTACCCTCATGAAGAGTTTCTACTGCAGCTCGTATTAGATAGAAATTATAATGTTTGAAACTTTTTAGCTTTTCCAATATTCAAAACATGCCTAATAAATATACTTCATAGCCTCCTCCCACTGGGACTATAAGCAGCATCAGAGATCCAAAAAAGCAAGAGGAAAATGTTAAAACCAGCACATGGAGTGGCCATTTTATCACAGTCATTCTTACACATACTGATGTGCTCATGTGCAATGTGAAGCCTTCCATGCTGTGCAGACCTTGAAGCAGCTCCAGAAAGAGGACAGGGAGTTGCAGCACCATCATTACAAATGGAGATGGTTTTTCATATCCAGAACATTTTTCCAACCTCTAGTTTCATGTGAATATGCCCTCCTCCTTGTTAAAACACAGTTCTACTACTCATGCAGGAGAAAAGGGTTTATGCACAGTCTGCATATAAACCTAATGGCACTTCCCAGAGAAGATGCAACAGATGACTTCATTGTGGGTACAAAATTAAGAGAGAGAAAGCTTTGCTGCATCCCAGTAACAAAACAGGAGCTAATATCTTATGATGATTCACCTCCTCTAACCCTAGGCATATGAATGTGAGGTGCCTTAACACAAAACTTTTTTCCAGGCCTATTTCCTCTGCTAGAGTTTTATCTGCCCTGGATTAAATGTACTCAAATATACTAATCCCCTGAGACATCATGTCAGGAGTCATCTGGGTTATCACCATCTGAGATGAAGTGCCCTTGGAGATACCTATTTGTCTCACAAATACTTTGTGGTAACAAGTGCATTTTGAAAAATCTTAATATAAGGCAGGCACAACACAAGCTCAGAAGAGAAGTCATAGAATCATAGAATCATCAAGAGGAGAAGATCTCTAAGTTCATCAAGTCCAACCATTAGCCTACCACTAAACCCTAAACCATATCCTCCAGTGTCAGATGCAGATGCCCCTTAAACCCTTCCAGGGATGGTGACCACTACCTCCCTGGGCAACATAATCCTATGCCTGACCACCCTAAAAGGGAAAAAATATCTTTTTGGATTTGCTTCAGTGCCTCAATGTCCTTTTCAAAGTGAGGGGCCCAAAACTTGCAGAGCCTGTAAAGCCGCATAGGGTTGTTGTGTCCCAAGTGCA